CACACAAATAAGTAATGAATAGTTGAAACCAGAGGAATACTTTCTATTTTGAAGAGAATGTAAATCTCATGATGCGTCCAAGATTATACTGTTCGAGCATAGCTTACAATCAGCAAGATACATTTTCCTCGTCCTATGCACTCTCTCTTGCAAAAAAATGGTTCATGTCTTTTTTAAGAAACTCGACTTGAAACGGGTACAAAATTCAAACTTAATAACCATGTAAGAGCTACACCTCCTCATATCAAGGTCATTTCACAAAATTGATTTACAGCAAATTCCAGTGGTGTAAAGAGGAGAGATGTTAGTGCTTGGTGAGCTGATTCAAAATATGTCCTTCACAACACAGGGTATTGGTCTAAAAAATTAAGCAACTGAAGTCAAAATGTAAAATGTATCAGAATTCACAGTATTACTTTAGTTCCCTCTGTTTTCCTCATGTTTCTTTCTGAATTTTTGTTTTGTTTTTTCTTGTGTGTGTGTGTTTGTGTAAGTGGGAGAAAAAATTCAGTATTCAGATCATTTAGGTGACTAAAACTTAAGACATTTACTGGTTTTTGCTATATAAATCCAGACGTCCCCCTCGGGGTCTATCTTGGTTGTTCCCATCAAACTGAAGTTTCTCTGTCCTCACGGCAATTTTTTATTGTATTAGAATGGCTGGAATATGTTGCAGTAATTTTCCTGATTAACTTGTGGTTTGATCTTTTTGAGAGTAATGAAGGGTAGTTACTTCTAAAGACGAATTGTAGCTGTGGCAATATTGAGGGGGAAAAATATTATGTAACTTCGCTTGACTGCTTACTGCTAACAATAGAAAAAATACCGAAAAAAATTTGAAAGGCATGCAGAAACACAAGAAAAGTTACCACACAGATCAAAAGCAAACAAAAACAAAAACAAAATGCAACATGCATCTAATTGGTCAAGACAAAAGTTAAAGGTTAAAATCCTGGAAGACTGAGAGTTATGAGGAAATTAGGCAGGGCTAGACTAGTTTAGATTTGGGCACAGTCTCATTTAAAAAGTATGCATTGATCATAGAATCGACTTCGTTGCTAATCTCTCAGCGAGTCAATGGCATTTTAGTACAGAAATGGGGGAAAACTTACTTGAAGCAAAGAGAGAGTTTCCATAGTTCTATCATGTTGTGATTCCCAGATAACTGAAACTTATGAACTTCCAGGAAATTATGTGCCGATGAAAATAAAGGTTCACTCAGGGACAATGACAATATTTGATCTAATCCATCGTTTCAATTTTGTTTCTTTCCTTCTGATCTATACTTATTGCTTAGGTTTTTTTTGGTATCTTCTCCTTGTCCTTGTATTTTTCTTTCTCACAGGTAGATTTCTCAGTTGCAGCTATTGGGAATGATTGCTGATAAAGAATATCCGTAGACGCACCTCGCATTCACAAAAAGAAGCATGGATAGACTAAGGCAAGGAGCAAATTCAGAGGTACTGAAGCGATTCCCTTTCTATAATTAGAGAGGACTTATTGACTTAATTGACAAACACAACATGGACATTGAAGAAACTATTAGAATGACTATTTCTATACAGCCTATTTCACTGTTCCGGTCAATTGTTTCAGTAATTTTCACTCTATCTTTGACAGGCTTTGTAAAAATAAGATAAAAATGGGGGAAGGGGAAAACGATTATGATAAGCAGGGGTTAAGGTGATTCGATGGACGCCATATTTTGTGTCAGAACAGCATGCAATATCACATCCATTGGTTCCATTTTTTTTATACTCGTCATTTTTCTCTAATTTTGAGATCGCAATTCTGTTGTCAGGAGACTAAAGCACTCACTTACCAATTTTAACGAAGAATTTCAACGTAATAAAAGCGTGGTTTTCTCTCTAAAAAAACCTTGCCTTTATTACGTTCAATTTCTTTGTCAAAATTGGTAAGTGCGAGCTATAGTCTCCTGACAACACAATTGCGATCTCAAGATTAGAGAAAAGTGACGAGTAGCTGAAAAAATGGAACCAATTGATGCGATATATCGCATGCTGTTCTGACACAAAATATGGCGTCCATCGAATCACCTTAAATGATGTGGCAGATAAGAATGTAGGATATGACAAGCACGAATGATAAAGAGTAAGGAATTTAGGCTATGCTGTTAGTAAAAATTATTCAAGCAGAGAGAGAGGTTTTGAAAACATTCGGAAAACATAACACGGAACACGTGGAAAACGTAAACTTAAAAATATATATGTCAGAAATAATTATACAATAAACTTAAGGTTTCCCTTATTTTCATTAGAACTATTTCAAGGAGGTTTTGAACTGAAGAGGAGATAGCGTTGAAAACTACTTTTAGAGATTGACTCTACAGGAAAAGATAAATAAATGCAGTTGATCCCGATGGCTTTGCAAGAGAGCATTTCATCATCCAAGAAGGAAACATAGTGCCTGGAAGTCTAATTCCTTTCTTTAATTATTCGGTGAAGTTTGTTAGGATTTGAAGGGCTTCAGAATGAACTGATTCATCCCTCTGACGACATTAACTACTTGGGATGAATTTTCTGTGACAAGACATGGAGAGGCACATTCAGCCCATTTTTTGTAAGCAGCATTGTATATTAGGCAGCACTCTGCTCCAGAGAAAAAGCCTGACTGAAGTGATCATCACTTCCTAACCACAACTTTTTTGGAGAATTCTCAAGTACTTCACACGACCTTTGACGAGGTCTTAACAAGAGAAGAAACTACATATTTTCTCGTAAAAATCTAATTTAGAAAACAATTCACAAGGCAGAAAGTTCAGAAATCTACTCCTGAATAACTATTAGGTACTAACACAGGTCAAATGGAGTCATTTGTATTTTGGCCACTGACCCATGCTCATTTTAAACACTTCTATCTTGTATCACAATTCACTACCTATATCTTGTTTAGGAGTTTATTTTCAGACTTCCCATTGTGCGATTTGTTTTTCGCATGAAATTTTGAAACGATAACATGATAAGTAAAGCTTTCATTCATACCTAGTCTGGAGGCCCATACAATGTGAAAAGAAGAGCTAAAGCCTTGAGGGATGACCTTAAAGGCATTTCACAGAATTTGCCCTTCAAATATTTAAATATTAGGGTGAAAACCAAGATCAGCAAAGACTGTCTCCATTTTAATGGAAGCCTCTAATAAACATTGGAGGTAAGTAACTTTCTTGTCATTTCCAGGATGACATTTTAAAGTTTCAAAATTGAATTGAGCCTAGAATCTCATAAATGTGTATATTAAACTAATTCTAGGAAGCTAATAATTGAAATTTTGCAGTCGATTTGTTTTCAAAGTTTGTTTAAAATCATCACCAATAATGAAACTGCTCCTTTGTTTACCAGAAACTTCCATTAAAAACATGAAATCAAATAACTGACAACGACAAATAGATGCATATACAAAATAAGCAAGGCAGGAAATTATACAAGAGCAAATGGGCGCATTTAATCAGCGTCAGCTTAATTGCTTAGTTTCCTGTTTAAAAAATTGATATCTGAGAAAATTAGGCAATGTCTCATGTGCAGTGGGGATTCTTGAAAGTTGACAATACTGTTTTACCTCCATTTCAACTTATGGAAAAAATCGATTCTTAGTGACGCAGCTTGCTTTACCTAAAACCGATACATTGGATGAAATTAAATGGAGGAAGCACAGTGTTGCCAACTTGTAAAATGGCTACTGCCCATGTGATTAGGCTGATTCCGGTAAATCCGTCCAAATATACTTTCAAAAAACATAATTACTTAAATAAAAACATGAAAAATCATCTAGGAAAATCAGTTACAAAAAAATTAAAAATTCTACATCCTGATTTGAGCATCCTTTCAGTCGAGGATCAAATCAAGCGCTTCTTGAGCCAGATGGATTTACACCTCCATTATAATGTTTTCGTAGTTTACAATGCACAAGAGGAGAGGATAATATGATCAGTATGATGGAGACAGAGTGGAGGGGGAGACAAGAGACAAAACCTTAAGACACACAGACGAAGAAAAATAAAAAAAAATTATATAAAAAAAGAAAAAAACAGCAAAAAATGACGAAAGCACCAGGAGTTTGGTCAAGGAGAGAATATACAAAATCAAAACAACCAATTGAGAGCAGTAACCAGAAAATTGACGAAAGGTCCAAACGTCTTCTTTGAAAACATGAAATGTGCTACAAATTTCACCGAATGTAATACAGAATAGGGGAGAGGGGAGGGGTTCTTGTTTTGTAGCATTTGGATCTCAAATACTGAGGACTTTTTATTCAAAATTCAGAGGGTTAGTTGAAAGTCTAAATAGATGGTGTAACCAAAACTGAAACCAGTTACAAAAATGATGTTAAGTGAACGACATTGGCAGAGCATGAAAACAGGCTGGAGTCCTTTAGAAGCACGAAATGAAATTTGAGATGGTAGATTTATACCTTGATACTTCCACCTTTTATTCAATTATTGTTGTCTTACAAAAGTAAGTTTGAGCAGCTACAATGTGAGACAACTAACATAATCCATTTGTAAACAAAAATAAAAAGCAACTGCAATCGAAGAGATAATTTTGAAAACTTGCTATCTTGTTGCCAATGCTACTCAGAGGGAACAGTTAATCCATTTATTTGATGAAAATTAAATTATATACCCTTGTCTATCTCCAAGATTTCATTTTTAGTTACTGTCACACCTGGAAATCTATATGACTGATTCCCCTGTTGTTTCAGGAGATCTCTTGACAATCTTACTACTCAAACTTCCAAATTATGATCCAGGTTTTGAATCCCTAGAAGCCACCCTCTGCGATTGTGGAGCATCAGCCAGTTGCTTTGCTGCATGGTAACTAGAAGGGACTCCTACTTTTACTAAAATAACATAAGACGACTTAAGATTTATAGTACTGAAAGAACAGAAGGACAACCTTGATAGCACTGCTCAGGAAACAGCATATTTTCAAAATTATCCATTCGGTTGTATCAGAGGTAGAGAATCATGACTTTGGTAAACTTACGTTTTCGGTGGAGTTCTGGGGTGCCAATGTGTGTTTGCTCATGACAATGGTTGTTGTCTTCAAACTGTTCCCAGACTTCGGGCCTCCAGGTGATTTCGGGTTAAGCTGCAAATCGTTGGCATCTAAAACTAACTGCTCTGCCGCTCTCACGACGTCCAATACCTACGAGGAATTGAACAAAAGTGAGATGAAAAAAAAAAAAAACAATGCATAAAACAGGAGATATATAGAATTTCAAAAGTTCCAAAAATCAAACCCTAATCTGGAGTATTCCTGAATAAAATCCAAATGTTGATCTTCCATGAATTATTCATCGTTTCAAAACAGTGGCAAAACTAGGAGGGGTCGTGGAGTTCTCTCCCTCACTCGAAACTCCTCATAGTAAAAGCTAATATTCGATGAAGTTTGAGAAATTTTTTTCAGTTCGGAGCTCCCTTCCTCCTTCCCAACAAGAGGGTTTGGGTCTTAGTCGCTCCTCATGAAAATGTCTGGTTACAACACTACATTATTATCTTGTAACACAGATACGAAATGTTACGATCTCAAGATGTTTAATTTTTCTGGGAACGCAACTTGTCTGCTGCCACTCTACGAATGATGACCCTACAGTACCTGGTACTATGCTTTAACTATTCGATTTTTAAATGCAACTTAATAAAAGCCACTCTCTTAAAAAATTCTCTGCCAGGACTGAAGTTTTATCTCCTTTGGATGGTCAAAAATATATGTTAAAAGAGGGAAATAAGAGATCAAGTTTGAGGTTACATCAAAGCAGCCTTGACTACTCACAGCAGACTCTTTGTTCTCGATGATAGAGTTAGTAGGTGTAGGTTCAGGGCACGGGCTTTTTTCGCAAGCAATTTCTTCTGTTGCCGGAGGAGGTTTTGGTTTTGGAAGCAGCTGCGGTTTTGCGAATGTCTTAGGTGGTATTTGAGGTTTTGGCGGTGGCTGAGTAGGAAGTTGGGGTAGCGACTGATCAGCAGCTGGAGTCGGCGATTGAGCTGTTGGTTGAGATGGCAACTGTACTTCTGAACATGACTCAGGCTGCGGTTTGGACGGAGGAGTGATTTCAGTAGGTGATTCGATCACTTTCTGTTTGCTTTCATCAGGATTTTCAATTTTGGTTCCCTCCTGTAACATAAATGTGCGACAAGCCCCCCTGTTAAGTTCGTTTCAAAGATTTGTTTTCGCCATTCTTTCCTTAAAACTAAGGAGAGCTCCTTGTTGTGAGAAAAGCACAGGAAAAAATTCACCGATTTACAGCTTATAACAGTTCTGTGGTCTTTTGAATACCCAGATTGATAAAACTGAAGTTCATCAAGATGCACAAAATTCCAGGCTGAACTTTTTTTGTCCATCTTAAACAAGTTGCCGGTGATTTGAATTGTTTATCAAGTCATACACTGGATTTCTGATTACTGATGGTCATAGAAGATGATCAGATTGATTCAAGATGGTTTGCAATTTTTCAAAAACTAAGGAGCTTACTGATTTTTCAGAAATTTTACACAAACTACTTGAATCAGGTTTCATGGAAACAAGGATGTACTGGTGCAGTTGAGACTCCTGAACACACAGAAGTGAAAAATGTGAAATTAAAGGCTAAAATCTTCTCCAACATTAGTTGTCAAAAGTGAACATTGTTGATGAGAAAGTGATTTAGCAAAGCAAACGTCAATAATGAAAATACTTTCACCAGAGGACCCTTGACAGGGTAAGCTAGAACCAAGACTTCCGTGAAAATCATGGCAAAAATGAAAGAATGCATCATGTATGCTGAAATATCTGCAAGGTAGGAGGAAAAAAAATTAGAGCACTTCAAAACAAGCATATCAAACTGGAAGCAGATATTACAGATTTTTAGCTATGGTCTGTTTCACAGTGACCGCAGAAAGCAAAGCAGGACCAAAACATGGTGTAAGAAGCCTTTTAACGATGAAAAATCATTGACAGTGCACACATGGTATTGAATGTTTAAGCCAGTTACATTTCAGTGAGCTGAAAAAGTGAATTTAAAAGGGAAAGGAAGAAAAAATTCACCATCTGATTGGAAAAAAAATGTCTACGCACGAAGCTGAAGTGTGTGAAAAATATGCAAACGCAGGCAAGATAATTGAAACCACAATTAAATAGTTGTAATTTTGTTCTTTTTTAATATGCTATGAATGAAAAAAGTAAAAAATAAGCAGAGAATAATGCTGTGGAAGAGAAGATAGTGCCTTCAACCACTACACTATGATAAGTTTTGCATTGTGATTAAAGTTTTTGATCCAAAACAAATATGTAGACTATGAACACCGACACTTCAAATATAAGAAAAACGCAACACTTGGACTACCCAAAAATTAAACCATGGTAGTAAATTTGATGATGCTATCAATTTAGAATGAAATGAAATAAACTCTTCAAAAAAATCCTAAGGAGCTCACAATCAACTGATAGTCACATACAATAGGGTGTATATATATATATACAAAAAAAAAAAAAAATCTTGAAAAAAGGCGAAAAAAAACCCGGATCATATACATTTGACAGCTTAGTTACACAGATAGTGCGCCAAACCAGGGATTTTTTGTGGAGCGATAAAATCTACACAGTAAACAAATTGGCCCCCTTTTATTACAACTTTGGTGAATAATCTACGGTACATTTTCTACACTCACCAAACTGAATTCATACTCAGATCTACATCGTGAAAGAAAAGCACTTCAGGAAATGGGTCGGTGTGAAAAAAGAGGTGCGTGGTATATACAAGGGTGTATGAACTGCTCATCTGGAAATCATTACTAAAAGCTCTCTTGCTTTTCCAAATTTCATTTCTTGTCTTCGTTACACCTAGCAGACTGCCAGACCAATATCAATGATTTTTCAATGATGAGCTTCGCTGTGTCCTTTTCAAACGGTAATAGAGATTCGCACTACTATGAATCACTTCTCTAAGCAGACAACACCAATTGAGGGTTCGGTCTGACAAAATCTAGGGGGGACCCTGCGGTATGTTCACAAAAATATTTCATCTTGATTATCTTCTGCTCTTAATTTTCATTTAATGGCCTTTTTTTATTGATTTCTGAACTAGGGTGTCATCTATGCTTAGTGAAACGATTTAAATTATTAAACATTGATGGCCTAAAGATTTATAAAGAGCAAATTGGCAAGTTTTTGTCTCAGGGGAGGGGGAATTCAGGAGAGTGAGAGAAGATAGTGAGCTTAGCAATCGTTTAAAAGAAAGGAGAGAGAGGTTTGAGTGAGCGCTTTCAAAGAGATATTGAGAGTGAGGTAGAGACGACAGTCTGGAGGACAAATAACAAACCTTAATAGGAACGGGTTTGGCTAGTTTATTTTCAGTAACTCGCGTGACGACAGTTTCCGTCAAGGTACTTTTAGTGATAGTTTCGGTCACTTTTCCGAGAGCCGTTGGAGCTTCGGGGAAGACAATGCCATTCAAATGAGGATCAGGCTGTTTTATCGTTAGGGATACCAGTTTCCCGTGATCATCCGACTTCTCAGTCGACGGTGGATGGTGGTAGAGGAAATGGGGTGGAATCATTGCTTGGAATTCTTCGTTTGTAATTGGTTTGGGTGGATGGTGATCCTGAATTCAACCACAATTCAAAACGTGAGAGTTCAAAAATGTTAGGGTAAGTTGCTGAAATAACTACAATAAATTAAGGTTCAACTACGACCTGATAAAAGAAAAGCTAAAACAGGGACTTAATTCTTGCTACTACCCTCTTACACTTACTGAGTGAGAGCTGCCATAATTTTAATTGAGCGTTATGAAAACTGGGCTTGAAAAAAGTCAAAATGCCTTACCCTCCCCTTCCTTCAAAAAACGTTACCTAACGGGGATCGCAGTGAAAATTTTCCCACCCTTGGGAGCGTTGTTGGGAATTTCCAGCAGAAATATACTTTCCTAAAAACTTTAATAGAATAAGACACACACATCCACACAAAACAAATGCACAGTAGTCACTCAAACTTCAAGACGTCAGGGAGAATTTCTAACAACTCTTGAATGGTTTTCTCACATTCAACCTTCCAGGCGAATTCTGATTCATTCAAGTAAGATAACTATTAAACAATACACAGGCAAATTTTGATCCTTTCAAGTAAGATAAGTATAACTCAATACACAATAGAGTTGGATTTTTCTTATTCCTGACTAAAATTAAGAAAAAACTCAGGTACTACAGATACAAAAATTTTCTTTCAACGCATCATCTCATTTATACGGATTTCCCACACCCCAAACTAACACCAGTATTCTTTGAAGGATTAACATTTTCGCCATGCATATCCAAGTGAGGAAAATTTGAGTTCAGTTTCAACCACCAAATTTTCTAGCTAGCGTTGAGCGCTTAAAGCCAACTACCACCACACTGGACAAACAAGTGGAAAAATGAAAAATGTGAAAAAAAGAAGAATTAGCAGTCTTTAGCCATTGGTCCAATATTTTTCTTAAGGACCCAGGCACCAAAATCCAAATTTTCAGAAAAACAGGACAAAGTGTGCCAATTGGCGTCCGTTTAACTTTTTATTTAGCCTTTAAAAATGTATTCATCAAATGTATACATGTTTTTGTTCACTAAATTTTTCAATGCTTTAAGTAACACATCACAGGGAAAGAAATGAATTTTTCGTCAGACCCTGTTCTCCTTTGAAATTACACAGCCGGAGGGTACAAGCTACAGCCAAAATCTCTCATAATTTGAGAAAGTCAGAAAACCAAACCATGATTTCATAAAACCAGCTGAGAACATATGAGACAATGCAACAAGATAATTAAGTCCTGGTGGTTGTATAACAGTAACATCATTTAAACAGGCTTTACTCGTTGAATTGTAAAGTCATAATATTTAAAAAGTTGTTCGCTTTGAGCAAAGTTATGATCACAAAAGCAGTCTGTGCAATGAGAGCGTGATATCCCACAAAAAATAAGCAGATCATTCTTCCCTGGGCACAGAAATTAATGCATGGTTTTCAGTCTGAGCAAGAAGATCTTGAGGCATCATCATCATCTCATGTGATAAGAGAACTGATCAGTTTTTACACTGCTTTCTTCAATTAAATGCGTCAACCACTGAAATATACATGAAGCAAAAAAGCCTTTTGTCTGAGCACTTTAAAATTTCACAAGGAAAATCAGCAGAGGATATATTCTGCGTGGTGATTCCTCAATTCATTCAGTTTGTTAGAGTGAAAGATTGACCTGTTGGTTCAAGGATCTCTAACTTTTACAAAAAAGAATTTATGAATTTTCTTAAGGAAATTGTCCAGCTAAAAATAGGGTAGTTATTAACTAACTTGAAATTTAAACAGACAGGGATGAACAAAATGTAGCAGTTGAGATAGGAAAACATCATTTTTGATTTTCCAACTGCCAATCATAGTATGATAGTCCTGTTTCAGCACTTTTGTTTATTTTTTCTGTGTTTCTTCAAATTTTGAAGTAAACTTTGCTATGGAAATCTCTTCGGGTTTACTGATACATTTTAGCAAAAAAATTCAAAGCGACAAATTGACAATATAATGACGTAAAAGTTGCTTGGTCGTAAATAAAACCATAGGTTCAACTCTCATTCAACCAAAAATCAGACAAAGAATCACTTCGAAATTGTCAAAGAGAATATGTCGAACACATGAATACTCAGGATTGAAATTTGACTATAAAATGACCTTGAATTCTGGAATTCACCTCCTTTGAAAAAAAGACGATTATAGGAATGAGGATGGAGAAGCAAGAAACCAAAGCTGACAAGAAAAAATGCTCTTCACAATGATGACAGAAAAAAAGAATTGCTTGATTACTAAGCAAGAAAAATGAAAAACTCCAATAAACTTAAACAAACCCTGGTTGAATTGACTGATTAAAAAGAAAAAAATTAAAAGATACATAAGATTATAAATGCCTCTGGTTTCCTTCCCTGAATAAATAGTAACAAGGGTAGGACAGACTTAAGGACAAGTTCTAAGACTGAGAACGACTTGATACACTCAGAATGATACAAACTTTAAAAGCAGAGACTGAAAGGCTAAAATGTTAGAATACTTCTTCACAAGAATAGGTAAAATCTATCACCAAAGTTGAGATGTGAGTGGAAAATCTACCATTATTATCACTGTTTTACATGGATAATCATCCAATTGACTGCATTAGAATGGATAAGTTCTACCCGTTTATTACTCTTTAGCACGGTTAAGACAATACTTTTAGTTGAGAATTGTATATTCAAAAAAGGAATGTATTACACAATCTCTGTAATTTTTATTTTTCTGATATGTGACCATTTGCAAGAAAAGAGACCTAAGAGCAAAGACAAAATTTTCAGATGAGGTATTCTTGACAAATTCATGAAAGAAAAGTAGTATAATACTTTGATTTTTCATACAAAGAACAGTTTGATAACCCAAAGCAAAAGATATAGCAGTTTAGTTCATTTTAAAATCAGTGGAGTAAATGAGATCGCATTTCAACCGGACACATTTGAGTCCTTGATAAAGGTATTTAAATCAGAGGGAACTATCTCTACTGTGACAAGGGGCTTTGTCATGTATATAATCTCATGGGTCACAAAGCCCAAGTCAAAATGGAGAATTCTTTTTTTTTTGTATCAAAATAGCTATCCCCCAAAACTGTGAATTTTGAACAAAACATTTGAAATTACTCTGCCGTGATAGCGAAGAGAGCCGTAAGTTCAAAATTTTCAAAATCGAGTTTTCTTCAAAATTCGTCTAAACTCTTTTAGATGCAATTCCTGAGACAGCTAAAATAGCAAAATTCACCCTAATTTAATGAAAACGAGACACATGAAAAAGCCGTAAGTGCACAAAAAATGACATAGTTTTTTTCAAGACAGCCGTAGGTGCATGAGAGCAATGAAAACAGTGCTTTCAAGAGGAATGCCATCCTCATCTGCCGATTTCTAACCTGAAAATGTGTTTGTTGTGTGTCGAACACGCTACCACAAAAGCACGCAGAAGATAGCACTTACGGCTGTCTTGCCAAATACTAACCTAACATGAAACTGAATTTTACATTTTTCATGTACTTTAAAATAAAATAGGTCGAGTTTTAATCCCCCATATGATTTCTAAGAGTCTATCGAATGATTGGTTGCAATTTGACACAGAATGGAGGCTTCTTTTAATAAAATGTTCCGGTCAGAAGCTTCTAGACCCATTTTCTCAAGACTTCATTTTTGCACTTAAGGCTCTCTTCACTATCACAGCAGTACTATTCCACCGGTTTCAACATTTTTGGTTCCATGGCCCTTTTTCTTGAAGACGGTCACAATATGCTAGATATTTCCCATGAACACACAAAAAACCCTGAAGTCCCAGAAAGTATAGCTCTCATTTTTAAAAAAAAATTGTTTGATGGCATGCCTATTTGCCCCGCTTTCAAACAGTACTTCGAATACTTTCGTGTTTCTCTATAAAAATTCTCAAGATTGATTGTCAATGTTTGACGCTTGAGTAATACTGAGGGACTATTCTAAACTGGTGCCAATCTTGGAAAATGAGGTATTTCAAAGATTCTTCGTGGACCCATACTTTTTCCTCGGTGGCCGTTCAAAAATTGTGTCAGATTAAAATTTAGAATTTCAGACACCCCCTTCCTTCCTTTGCTACACACCTGTGTTAAAGGTCTGTACCCCCCCCCCCCCNGGCAAATTTTGACACATTTAGCCTCATTCTCCCTCTGTATCACCTGAAAAGATGGCTTTTTTTTGTAGTTTGAATAACCTTGTCAAAATTTTTTTAAAAAATTGGCGCTTTGTAGCAATTTTTAAATGATGTCATGCAATACCAGACCTACTCCCTCCCTCAGAACTTTGCGTAATTGAAAGACAGTCCCTTACAGCTTCAATGAAGACAGTTTCCTTGAACCAAAACAAATCACATTTTGACCTACACAGCAATGAGCAATAAGCGGATCCCATCCACCATTTACCTGTATCTCAGAATCGGCGTCAATGGACGAGGATGGGGTCAACTTCCTTGGCGCAGGTTTCGGAGGTGGAATGGGGCTGGCTTCCTTAAAAACAGGTGAGCTGACTGCGGATCTGATGCCTGTATATGAAGGACGGTTTGCCATGTAACTGTTAGCGCTGTACAGGCTGGTGTATGGTTTTGGGACCCCGAACACTTTTGGTGACTTCTCTGGTCCAGGACTTTGCGTTGGGGTGCTTTGGCCCTTCGGTACAGCCACCTCTCGCTCAGCAACTATCCTGATGTGTCGTTCCAGTCCTGTCAGCATTGTTACGGCTTGGTCATGCCTGGCACCTTCAAGATCGATACCGTTTATCTGCAATCCATCAATGCAAGGGTAAGGTTTTGGATGGATAAGTTGTGAGGATAACAATCAAACAATATTGAGCAAGACAAATTTGATTGTGGAGCAGGTATTGAAAAAAATAAAAAAACGCTGGTGCTAAAGGTTTGTAATTGACTAAACAATACTTTTTATTTGTAGATACAACGGTTCTACTGAATATCTTACTATATTATAAAAGCCCTAAAATTGTCAAGATCTGTTCCGCGCTGTCCTGAAGTTACCGCTAGGGCGAGAGTATGGAAATTTTACAGAGTTGTGACACCTTATGTGCTGTAGCACGGCGCGATCTCCTTTTTTTGAATTTTTCATTTTTAGCCGAGTTATTGCAAAAAATCTGCAAATCTTTTTTTGCCCATTTTGTGACTAATATTGATCCTATGAAGTTAAAATTCGTCATGATGAAGGAGCGAGCTGAAATGGATATGCTGAAGCTTTTTGTCCATATAATGTTCACAATTGGTCAAGTTATCGCGAAAAATCTAAAAAATTCACCGCGTCTATGTCAAGGTGTACAGAGCATACCGTGGAAGTCTCAACATAGACCTTTCTACCCACTGATGCAGCTTTATACGCACTTGTGCACCTCGAAGTCCAATTTTTGAAATTTTCACCCACACCAGAGTAATTACCTTTCATCCAAAGAGCCGTATGCAAAAACGACATTTTTCGCCCCCCCACTAAAACTTATTCAAACTTCGTCTATCAGTTACTAATACTGGAGCGCTTCTTTCCCCAAATTTTCAGACCCCCAAAAAATTTTGGGGGGGCGCTAGGGGGGGTGGAAGTCAAAACCTGCGACCCTCGATATCTTTCGAACGAAACAAGATATTGAGGCCCGGTTTGGACGAAAAATCGTCTAAAATTGCATACTTTAAGATTCTAAAGGTCAAAATCCCAAAATTAAATTTTTAACTTAACTTATGTGCTTTTTTTCAGTTTTTGAGGAAAAACAATTTCTTTTAAACAGATTAAACTGAAATTTCACATTTTTTGATTTGAACCAAAACCAGTTTTTTAAATTGTTCGTCTTTTTTCGCATCCAACGAGTGGTCGTGTAAGCTGGGGAACCGAACGGTTCCGGAGTTATGATCGATTGAAGTTTCCGCTCAACGCGCGCCGACCGATTTTTGCGCGCAAAAAAGTCGGATTTGACTGTTATCAAATCAGATTTAATGTTCAAACTGAGCAAAATGCATTATTAGGGACTCTTGAGGGTCGCTGAGTCCAGAAATTACAGATACTTCCAAAAAATTCACGTTTTTAAAATTACAGCTTCGTACAGGACCACTGAGCGGCCGGTCGGCGCTCAGTGGGCCTCTAAAATAGCGCTACGGAGCTGTAATTTTAAAAACGTGAATTTTTTGGAAGTATCTGTAATTTCTGGACTCAGCGACCCTCAAGAGTCCCTAATAATGCATTTTGCTCAGTTTGAACATTAAATCTGATTTGATAACAGTCAAATCCGACTTTTTTGCGCGCAAAAATCGGTCGGCGCGCGTTGAGCGGAAACTTCAATCGATCATAACTCCGGAACCGTTCGGTTCCCCAGCTTACACGACCACTCGTTGGATGCGAAAAAAGACGAACAATTTAAAAAACTGGTTTTGGTTCAAATCAAAAAATGTGAAATTTCAGTTTAATCTGTTTAAAAGAAATTGTTTTTCCTCAAAAACTGAAAAAAAGCACATAAGTTAAGTTAAAAATTTAATTTTGGGATTTTGACCTTTAGAATCTTAAAGTATGCAATTTTAGACGATTTTTCGTCCAAACCGGGCCTCAATATCTTGTTTCGTTCGAAAGATATCGAGGGTCGCAGGTTTTGACTTCCACCCCCCCTAGCGCCCCCCCAAAATTTTTTGGGGGTCTGAAAATTTGGGGAAAGAAGCGCTCCAGTATTAGTAACTGATAGACGAAGTTTGAATAAGTTTTAGTGGGGGGGCGAAAAATGTCGTTTTTGCATACGGCTCTTTGCTAAATTGGGACAAATAATGTGGTTGTCAGATTGCGCAGAAATAACACGGATTCTCTTTGAAGACAAATGAGCGTTTTTGATATTTTTTGGGACAGACGGCAGCGTCCTAAAAAACCCATAAAACTCTCCCGCGACAGTTCATGAGCCCAGAGAGGGTCACGGTCGCCCTCGCCTGGATGTGAGCCCTGCTATGCATATATTCTTATGGGTCTCGGGGGTCATATCTTAATGCACATAGTGCCCTTTGGCAGAAATACATCCAAGTCTACGGCAGTCAATTTTAACTACGTCGATCATGACTGATCAAAAGTCAACCATCCAAAGTTAGCTGGGAACTCATTTCACCAAAATATAAAAACACTCGGGGGGCCACATGGTTCATGCCTTCGGTCCTACCCTCTCAGTTCTTGAAACTTTACGACCTGCGGGTTGGGTTGGGTTGCGGATCGGCCAGGTGGCGTAGCCCCCTAGTTGTACAATAATAAATAAACAAGGAATTTAATTTCTATCACACCATAAGAATTTCGATGCTTTTATCAAGTAGTGAATGAGTTAGTGGCAACCATTCTTTTTTAAATTCATCCAATTGAATGCTGAAGTTTTAATAATACAACTTACAGAAACAACACGGTCTCCTACTTGAAGGGTTCCATCTCTATCAGCAACACCGCCATCTGTTATTTTGGAGATGAATATTGCCTGAAAAAGAAGGCTGAAGTAAATATATTTTTGTCATGATTATTGAATGAAGCATGACACAATATAAGATAGGAACTCCTTCATGAATTTTACGCAAGTGAAATCGTAGAATTTGGTTTCAGTTAAGTCGTTGCTCTTGTATTGCTCAACTCACAGACTATTTTAGACTCTGAATGTGTTTGCGAAACCTATTTTGTATCTAAATGCATTGGTTTAAAGTTGATATGAGATAAATAAGTTTTTTTCGGGTCTTATGGTAGAATGATACTGAATTAAACGGAAAAGATATTAAGGAATGTTGGGAAACGGTGAAACCCAAAGTGATGGGAACAGGTCTGCTTCTATCTTTTTTTTTTTAAAAAAAAAGGAAAAAAAAACTAGAACTTTTGTCATTACCTTTTCGAGACCTTCCTCTAGTAATGACAAAAGTCTGCTTTTTAGAAATGGTTATATGCTTTCTGGGTGTGTGTGTGTTTGCTGTGATTTCAAGTTCATTTTCTTACTAAAAAATTTTTACAAATAAATCGTAATACTTCAAAGTATTGTATGAGATTTCCACATTTTTTTGAGTGCTTTCGGACCTGCCTTAAAAAATAAATGCTATTTTTAGGTATTGTGGATGGTGCCTTGTGATGAACTTACCTTGTTGAGGACATGATAAGGGTCGAAACCCTGTAAAAAAATATTGATATTCAGACTGTGGAAACCATAATTTCTATCATTAGCTAACCTAGGAATAATTTAGCAACACTTTAAAACTTACATCAGAGTCATCTTTAAAGGGAGGGCATCCTTTTCCTCCTGCTATACTGAAACCAAGGCCATTTTGATCTCGGAAAAGGGTAGCGTAAATTGTTTGTTTGCGCATTTCTACATCTTTCAAAGGCTCTGGAATTTTTTTCACCTGAAACACACAATTTAAATTAAATTAGTAAGTTACATAGGTATGAGAGATTCTTCACACACGCAAAAAAAAAAAAAAAAAAAAAAAAAAAAAAAAAAAATGCCAATCATATAAAAATTAAAATTATGAATTTCCATGTTTTCTTTATTTAATTTTTTGAATGCTACCGCCAACTACTAGTAACTACGCACAACTACTTAAAAGTACAAGAACTACTTTAACATTGAATCCAAACTTCGCAAGATGTTGAGTGCTTGATATATTTATGTCAGGGTGTCTATGGAAATCCAAAAACCAAAATATGGCACTTTTATATGACTTTTTAAGACCAGTTTTGCAAACAAGTATGACCGTGAGGCTAATAAAAATGCAATCAGTACCCGCTAAAAAGTGGCTTGCCAGGCAAACATCCTACCATCATAACAACGTTGACTGGAAGTAATAATAATTTCAAAAAATAAAAATTATGAACTCATATGTATAAATAACAATCTATTGTTATTAGCAATTTTAGAGTACATGGGTAAGTTGGCTGCATGACCCAGAATTTTAGCTAAAGAATCGAAAGATGTAACAAAAATATGGCAATTTTATGTGAAATTCATGGAATTATGCAACCAAGATGAAAATATGGCAATATTATAAGACTTTAAACGATTATAGGACCTGCAGACACCGTGCAAGTGAAAGAACAAAACCGTTTTCTCTCAGTTCCCTTCCGGAGTAAAGTTCCTTGAAAGTATCAAAGTTTGCAACAGGAAAAATGCTGACAAATGTACCTTATTTAAGGAATCTGCATGATTCGGAGCAGTCGATTCAGGACCAGAAGTGACGACAGAATTATGAGACGTTCTGCTGGGTGCTCGACTAGTGGTAACAGAGGAATTTGCTGAGTCGACATCTTTTGTTGTGCTTCCTCCATTTTTAGAATTAAAATCAGTCTGAAATACAAAACAAAATAATATTTTGAATTGGATTTAGTGTATTGTATCCCTATGAGTATGCTGTGAACAGGTTTTCTGCACAACATGTACGACTGAATTGCTTTTGTTTTTACACTGTTGGAACAAATTCGAGAATTTTCCCTGATCTGCATACTTTATTTCTGCATGCTCCTATTCTTTTAACTAGGTATAATTTGTCATAATGATGACAGATTTCATGATATGAACATAAAGTTCCAAAAGTTAAATGATTTAAAATGAGAGAAAACTATAAAGGAGGAACTTGACTTGTGTTTGAGTTTTCTATTCTTCTCAAAGAACCTTAATGCATATGTATGATACATTTACCAGGATTGATGATAGTATCCTTATTGCGCAGATTTTTGAGAGATTTTTCAAACTTTGTCCTGCCTTGGCACATGGAAAGCAAAAACTAAAGTTAATAATGAAATCATTCAAGCAGCCAAGGTTATTAATTTTTTCCTTGTACTTCCTGTGGCCTGTGAAAATTTTCTGTGGTTCTGGGTTTTCCTCCAAAATTCCTGTGATTTTCCTTTAGATGAGGACCCCTTTTTTTATGGGAAAGAAACGTGAAGAAATTAAAACCTTTGAGGGAGTCTGCATGACAGGTACTTCACGTATGATATCAAAAGTTAATGTTTGACCAGCGGATCGCAGCACTTCTACTGCTGTATAGTGGTCTGCTTTCACTAAGGAATGACCATTCACAGCTAGCAGTTTATCGCCGACCTGGAACATAAAGCAAAAAAGATGCAACATAACCGAGGATATTTGAAAAAACCATCAGGGGTATGCAAAATTTCTTTGTTTTTAAATTCTCTGAATTTTTATGCTTTTCCCCACTCTAAAAATTCGAAATTTCCTAACTTTCGAACTTAACTCCAAACTAAATTTTTGCTTCATTTCACTTTGCTAATTTTTGCTAAACTTTGGACAAAATTTCCACTTCTAGGAATTCAAATTACAGGAAAAGGTCCTTGGGCATTGTTCTGACTCTTTTGAATAACGGTGCCAGCTGAAGTCTTTGAACGCGTGCCCTACTGATAGGATTCAATGACTTTTCTTACAATTTTTCCTGACCTTTCCAGGTTGCCATGTATTACCTAACTTTGCAGGTTTTCTAGACTAACGGAAACTCTGCTATCCCATAATTAGATACAAAATGTGAGATTGCAACACACTGAAAAAACAGGGTGTCTACATGCTTGGGGGAAAATATTCCCTGAATTTTCCACGTTCTTCCTGACCAACATATTAAGAATTCCCTGATTTTTCACAAAAACAATTAGTAAATGTAGAGCTGAAAATAATCAATTTTTGGCAAATTTTTTAATTCCACTGCAAATGATAGAACAAATTCACCTGTTTTCTTCGCCTGTGAATCATCTCCCTCCACCATGGTTTCTTACCTCATAAGCTCAACTAAAAGAAATTCTGTCATTCCATTTCATGAATTCGAAATGTTATTTTAGAGCCTTGTAACAACTTGTGACAAGGAAGCGCAGTAAACATTTCATACATACCCTGACGTCTGATTTATGGGCAAGTCCACCTTCTGTTACTCTGGAGATAAATATGCCATCATCATTGCCTACAAACGGAGTTGAGCCGACACCACCAGCTATGGATAGACCTAATCCAGTGGAACCTTTTTCAATTTCAATTCTTATCCTTTCTAATCTTGTTTCGCCTGTGCAAGAATCTATAAAAATCAAAAATAATTAGAGCTGGAAATCTAATGAGCTAAGCAAATCACATATAGATCTAATTTTCAAAGAAGGAAGAAAAGAAGTAGGTGGCTGATGTATTTTTGGTTACAGGATGGTAGAATAATGCTGGGACCACACTATTCTGCAGGAAATTTAAAGCAAAATAAATCCAAAAATGAACATAGGAGTCACAAAATGAACTCTAATGAGATTCCGTGCAAGACCAAGGAGCAAAACTGACACTTTTGTGACTCTAACACTATTTTATAAGAGTTTTCTGGCTTCAACTTTCCTGCAGAGCCGATTGGGCCGCTTTGGGACTATTCTACCAACCTGATACTTGCACTAATAAGCCAAATTTTTAGTGGTTCTTTTTTCCTTGTCTATATTTTTTAGATTATTCAGTTTTATATTTTTAAAAAAAACCCACTCTTCAAAAATTTCTGTGTGTAATTTGTCAAAACCTTTGTCTCCGAGACCGTGAAAACTCATGTTGCATCATGTAAAATTGATAATTTTTTAAATTTGACAGACAAATCTATGTTTTGTCGGTAAAATTCGTCATTGTTACTTTAACATTAATAGAACCACCATTGAGATTTGAACAATAGTTCCAATAAAAGAGCTGTATCTTAACTCTGAAATAAAGTAAAATTACCTTCCAGAGTTGAAAATGGCTCTTATTTTTAAGAAAAAAACTATACCTTGCGTATCCCCGTTGACAGGCTGAACAGTCGGATTTGAGTTTGATGCCTTTTTATGATCATCGATATCTGTGGAAGCTGGCTGCTTTTTAAGAACCTGAACAAAGAAACCATTACAATGAATATAAAAAGCATAAAAGAAAGAATTATTTGCCAAAATATCATAGCCCTCGAATAACTGAGGAAAAAATTGAAGGCTTCAGTCATGACCATTCAATTGGTTAAATTGTGATTAAGATTAAGCAATTTAAAGAGGGCAAGCATTTTGTGCTGAAAAAATTATAATTGGTTGGAGAAAATAAAATCCGTAGTTTCTATTGAATATTGTCAGGTTGAACTGAAAAAGTTCTACCGACATTATTCCTAGCACTAATCTTAAGAGATCGGTTCTGTTAGTAACACATGGCGAGACATTTATACCATTGCTTTTATGAATGCACAGAGGAATAAAGAATGACTACTTGGGTATGTACAATACATTAAACTACATCATATTACTCTGTGATGAGTACTACTTCAAATCATTAAGACTTACTTTGAAAGCATAATATGTACATCGTTAAATGACCATTGGCTTTTGAAACATTTGTATGCATTTAAAAGGCGTGTACGTAATTTCAGTGACACAAAAATGCCTACTTATTCATGCAATGGACCAGTAAATAAGTGTAATTTGACAACTATGTAACATGTTTTCTCCTCAATACTTAGTACAGAAAAGAAATTCAAGTTTAAAATGCAACCCATCAGTGAATACTTGGTGTACGGTGTCAAAAGAAAACCACAAAACTATTCAATTGCCTGCACTGTCATTCGCAATAATTTTGAAAGGTTTATAACATAGCATAAAAGTTGCTTTCACAGCGCTCTCTGGCACTCTTAGGCCAGGTTCATACCATGAAAATTGTTAGCTATATTTTTGACGAATGTTTTTATATGACTGATGTCTCCATTGAGTGCGTTTAGAGCCCAAATAACTATATTTCTCCGTCGATTTGAATGGTGATTCTTTCTCCTCTATGAGGCATAAGAAACTGTACAAAATGAAGCATTCTGTTACGTGTTTTTCCCACAAAATTGTATGTAAAAAGTAATTCACACAATGATGGTTTAGAAATCGACTCTTGAAGAAGATTTAAGTATTTATAATGGACATGAAACAAATCGCAAAAACTCATATGAAGTCATTTGCAAGATTCACGTGCAATTGAATCAAAATTGAGTATGCATAATAAAATTTCCCTTAAGAGTTAATCTTTGAATTTCCTCTTTGCTTGTAAATTTCTCTCTGTGTAAATTTTGAGGAGTAAAAATACGACTGCTTTAATTCATATTTTGTGCTAGGTTCCGATACAGATGTAAAACTTACGAAGTAACCTTAGATCCAGGGTCATACATGCATGATGTTATTGACCGATGTCAAGAGGCCGCATTAATGACTACTTTCTGTATGATTACCAAAATTTTTCTTTCTCAAGTCTTTCTATGCATAAAAAATTGAGGAGAAAACATAGTGTTTCAGTTCTTTCACTGTCTACTGACCAATTATTATGAGTCTCGGGTGCTAAGAAGAGATTTTGCCGACATGTAAATGAAAGCATCCACCAAAAAGAAACCCAAGAGATTTATTAGACATAGATAAATGACCTTTATTTACAGCTAATGGGGCCGTTAAGGATTTTTTAAAATTCATCTTTTGAAACTGCGCAGAAAATGAGTAAGTTTAAAGTTTTCTGCATTGCATTGAATCAAATTTTAGAGACTACATTCTAAGTTGCCGAAAATCCAACCCCATTCAAAACAGAAAAATATCACACCGACAGATTTTGTGACCTTGCTGGCAACTTATTCTTTGGAATACTACAGTGTTTTTTGTGGCAAACTCAGATTCTGATTCATCCATCGGAGTTGGAGAAGAATTTTCTCCTGAATATAGCAACTCCATACCAGTGGCGATTCTTGAAGTTGGCACCACTATTTTTCCTCCATTTGAATGTATGTAAAACAATTGATACTGATATTTTCAATAGCCTGTGTTACACTATCAAAGGTAACCATCAAAATATCAAGGTCAGGTGTTGTGATTGGCTTATTCAATGACTTGGACCAATCACAGCACTTGACCTTGACATTTTAATGGAGTATTTGGATAGTGTGACACAGGTTAATGGATTTAAATGCAGGAAAAACTGTGTTGCCAACTCGCAAAATCACCAATGTCTCCATTTACTACAACTCCTTTCCGAGGGGACAGTCATGAATAAAACTAGAGAAGAATTCTCAAACCGGCTCGCAAACAAGACAGGAAATGAGAATATACTAACACTCGCTAGTATGGCAGCCACTTTTTCATCGTCGATGTCCGGATTGGCTGAGTGGATACGCTTATTCTTAAGGTGATGCGGAGTGTCCCTCCGGTGCAACCGATTCGGTCTGTTATCCTCAAAAACCGCGGTAGTGTTAGTAACAGCGTCGAATCCAACATGCTTTTCCTACAACCATCACCAACAACATGAGCATGAGAAGCAGATAGATGCAAAATCTCACGAAATTTCCTTTTTCGCGCATTGAATCAGTTATGTTCCAAATAAAATTGGTGCCTCTTTTCCAAACAACAAAAAAGCGCAATGAAGGGTTTTATCTGTAATCCTCAATCAATCTTCGCGTTATGAAAAAAATGGGTTTCCCTAAGAAAGCCTCCTACTTGAGAGCGTACTCCTTCTTAAGTGTTCTTAAATTTGAGCAGATTTAAGTGGAATTGACCTAACTATATCAAACGTTGCCTGATTTCCTCTCATGTTTTATTTTTTCAACAGAAAAGTATCATCATTCTGACTTGAAGTGGTAGGATTATATTATTTATAAGCCAGGGGAACTATACATGGAGTTTTGAGTCCTAATGTTGCTTGGTTATCTGTTAAAAAAAAAATAATTTGAGAGAAAAGTAAGCATCATAAAATGCAGTAAGGCTCATTTCAGTTCAATCCGTCTACTTGGGTAGTTAGTAATTGAAGGAATTGGCAAATCCCATTGAATTGACAAGTGCAACAATAGCTTAACTGAGAGGAAAACTCAACACCCTTTGCAGGAGAATGAAGAATTTTCAGACAAGCTGAACTTTTATTTTCTTTCGTCAAAAGATTCTGAGTTCTTGAAGCAGCAGTAAAAATTTTTGGCACCTGCACGGAGAGAACTCAACTTGAATTTTTAAATCTCTTTGATTTGTTGAACAAAAAAGCGAAACCATGATTTTTTTTTTTTTTTTTTTTTAAAGTCTCTTTCTCTAAGATAGTTTTGAAAATTGGACAAAAAACGATTTTCAATGACAAATCCTGACAAATAACTTAAAGTGATTTCTTACAAAAATTTTCCCACAAAGACAAGCTGGTTCTACACTGCCTGATTCAATTGTATTTGTCTTTAATTTTCCCGGGTCAACTTTTGCTGTTGCAGAAATTTGGGTTTATTCCATCAAATTTTCGGCTGTGGAGCTGAAAAGAGCTGCGCTATGTTCATGTAATTATTAAAAATTATCTTAAGACTTGGTGCGAGACAAAGTCTAAATTGAGACTAATTTCAGAGACAAGCAGACTTACTTCTATACTTCAGAACTAATTTGAAAACTATACTTCAGAATAGAAGCTTAAAGTGACATAATTGTACAAGAATAATTGCGAATCAATAGTGAAATGAGAAAATTCTACGACTCAGTTTAAAACAGTGCAAATCAGCTGCCACATTATATTTCAACAAGGCACTGTTCATAAAATATGTAACACTCAAGGGAAGAGAGGAGTTGAGAAGAGCACAGCGCTATTGTGTTTTTGCTTATTAAAGGATAGGAACTTATGTCACATGATAGCTACGAAGGGAGAAGGGGGGGGGTCGAAAATCCAAAATTCAGCAATACGTATTTTATGAATGGCCCCTGAAGGAGAATCAACCTGATTTAATTCGTAGATTCCAGCATGCTTTTTCTTTGACTATTTACATGTAATCACTTAAATTTCATGCAAAAGTAAAAATTTTTTTCAAAATAGAGAAAACCGAACCCGTGAAACACTTTAAACAACACAATCAAGTTATAGGGTGTTCTTAATTTCAGTGTTAAATAGTATGAGCTAGACATCAAGACAAAAGATTCAACTTTACATGACAGTATGTCTAGCAAAAATTTTTTCCCCTTCCTCCTGGTTTCCCACGTTTTCCCTGACTTCTGATTTATCTGTCTCTCTGACAATCCCTAATTCCCCCTAGCCTTTTTCCAACAATCAAAAGCAACACAAAAATAAACATAGCTCAGCGCAAAGTATCAATACAGATCAGCTGCAGGCTCAAATTTCCAGGGGAATAATCCACTTCTGAACAGACCGGAAGAGAGCGCTACGCGGTTCAGTAATAAAGTGCCATAAAGTTATGCAAAAAATCTTAATCTTGCAAAGAAGTTTGCAACTTTCTTTGACTTTCCTGGTCAATAGACACCCTGCATGGGCAAATATTCATAGAAATTGTTTCCCCTTATTTGTAACACAGAAAAACTCAGTAGAAATAAAGAATTAAATCATACAAATCAAGATTGTTTGTAATCATCCTAGGCACTTCGCTATAAGGTGAAAAAATATTGTTTCATTCACAGATTTTTGGTACAACTTTTTGTTCCTTTGATGCTTCAAAGTTACCCAATTAAATTGTTCATATAAACTAAGTCCATTAAAAATAATGTTTTGCTTTGACATTCCCAAAAACATCTGCCTCCCTTCCCTAAACAAATTGGCAGTCATTCAAACAAATGACTCTAAACAATTAAGTTTTCTTTTCATATTTATGTTTCATGCATGTGATTTGCAAAACAGAAAATCTGCGAAAAAGAGGTTTCCTTGAACCAACAGAAAACAGAAGGAGTGGAAAATCATTTACCTGTTAATGATCAAAAATAAAGAAGCCATATATTATACATTTCTTGATTAAGCGTTTAAGTTACTATCTTCAAAAATAAAATAAAAATGATTCAGAACTCACCTCTCTGCTAAAGTCTTCTGATTCACTAGGACACGTATCACTACACGACTCAACACCATGCTCATTGGGTGATATTTCATGGATAGAATTTAATTTCTGTACAAAAACAAACGAGCACAATATAAAATCCGGAAATTATACTTGGATAAAGGTTTTTCCATTATTTAAAATCTGTGCCAGTGTAGTTGGTTAGTGAAAGGAGGCCTGTAGCGATTAAAAATGAATATCAGTACTACTATTTGATAAGCTAACTTTGGACACGTCAACCCAAGTAACAGTCAAATATTGATACTTGTAGAGCATCATGAAAAGTTTGCATGAAGACTCGTCGTTTCCAAAAAAAACCCAGTTGAAATTTTGAAGAATAAGTTACATTTGCTTTCTCCTACTTGAGAGAACATATCTTGATTGTACCGTTTCAGTATTACTATTACTTGTTTACATTTTACTTGTTATTAAGAGAGCCCTCACATGAATTTTCTTGAACTTTCTGGTAATTTACTTCATTTTTGTGAGGAAAGATTCTGAAATTTTCAGACTAATTTATGTGACCATTCTCCTGTGAAAAATAAAATGTTCATGGAAATAATGCGGACAAGATATGTTGATTTATGTGGGAGACGAGGAGTTCTATATGTACCACCAAGCATCTAACCACCACTAAAATGGAAAATTTGATCGAGAAAATTTTTGAACTAGTGTTGCATCAAACACAAAAGCTGTATATTCAGCCGCACTTATGTTCACTTACATGCTTTCAAAAGAAAGTTCTTTACGTGCCTATCGACGTCAAATTGTCTTTGTTCATTCATAATCAAAATAAGCATGATCTCGCTCATTGTACTAAATTTCATTTTCCATGTAAGACAAATATCACTTTTGACTTCACTCCATTTTTCACGCCGCCCATGAAACTCTTGTGCATGGAAGTTGTGGGCTCCGGTCTTGGCACTAATCAGATATATTGAATGGACCAAGTTTGGTGGAAAGGGATATAGTAGGGCAAGTAAAAATTATAAAGACACATCCTTGTGTGTGTAGGGAGACAATTTTGAAAAAAATCATTTTTAAAAGAAGCCAAAAAGAGGGTTTCTTTTTGCAAAACTTGGTCAAAATTTACGTAGTGTTTTACTCACAACAGAATCTTTCGCTTCAGTCGGAGGCTCGGAATAGGAACTCCGTGCGCTGGCCGGCTGTTCCGTCTCAGTTTGAAGTTGATCCTTTTGAGAATGGTTTTTAACTTCCTCCTGTGCAAAGAAGACAAAAAAATATTAGAGCGAACAACTTGGCTGCGACACCATCCGAGGAAACATCTTAAAATTTGAGATAAATACGAATTTGAAAAGTTGAATGATACATGTGTTTTGTCGGGTATTATTGATCAAAGTACCTTACTGCTCCTTTTCCTTCTTGACCTGATCTATGAAAACGTTGGCTTCTTCTTAGATCGGGACAAGAAAAAAAAGAGACAAGTAAGTTGATCAATTAAGAGCCTGCAAAATACACTGATCAATCAACTTGAAATCACGGATTGATAACACTTATAAAGATAGGTAGCCCACCTTTACAAAGATTGGAAAAAGAAGAAGGAGAAATAAGTAGGGTGAAAAATTTGAGCCACAGAACAAAAATATGGGAAAAAATAGCAAAGAACATGACTGAAGCTGCATTTATAGTGAGTAAACTCAACTTAATTCCATCGGCCCAGACCCTGATTCGATTTTATGCTAGCGACACAACACATGCAGTAGAATGAAACTGAAATTTTGACCACCGAATCGCATTGTGCACTAAGACTCTGTGCTCTAAACTTGGGTTGGACTAGACTTGATGTACTCTTGCTGAGTGCTTGTGGTTGCTGTTTTCTCTGGTAAACCCCATTTTGATGCATGGTATAAACACCGATTCGCAAGATTTGATTTGATTTGATTTGATTTGATTTAATGATGTTTTGAAAGAGTCTCCGAGTCTCCAAATTACATTACTCTGCATTCATTCTACTAAAAGTAAACGCAATTTTACTAGTTAATTAGGGGAAATTCTTGGAAGATAGATCAAATTTGCCAACTCGGGTCTACTTTTAAGATTTCATTTAACAAAAAAAATCGCAAAAAAACAATTGAACTAAGAGCAAAAATATTGAGAAAAGGAAAAATAATAGAATTGCATATGAACTTACCAATTCTTCTGCGGTCATTTCTCTACTGGAGTCATTGGATTTTGATTTTGAAAATAATTTCATAGCTTTGGCTTTCAATTCTTTGGGATGTGGCGTATTTTGTCTCACAAATGACGTCTGAAAACCAAACAACCACATGGTTCAAAATTGTACTACTCAAAAGTTTTGAGCAGGGATTTAGAGCTGAGGTTTGAGGGAGCATCATAAACGGAGCAGCATCGGCGCGCAAGGCGGAGGCCTGGCGCGGACTTTCATTCCGCGTCGAACAGTGCGCCGGGGGAGCGCATTTGCCGTTGAGGCGGCTTAACCTGGTGAAGCCGACACCCGGCATGACTTTTTGATGCTGCATGAATTTTGATGCTGAGTCCAGCATCAAAATTGAGGCGGCTTCAATTAGCAGACACGTCGGATGCCAGCGCCCCGGGCCCGGCTGCCGGTCGGCTAATCGCACCGGTCTGTGTTTTCAATCCTTCCTCGGCGTCGACTTCTTAGAACTTCTCGGCGAGGCGTGGGCCGCCGCCGAGACAAAGGGGTGTTCCGCTAATTCATCGCCAAGTCCGAGGGTCGCGGTCTTCTAGGACAGCCCCATCGATAATGAAGCTGGGTGGCAGGACCGAAAATTGATGCTGTATTGGGCCGCGAGCCGAGAGTCCGGCCTCTAAAGTTGAAGCCCATGTTGGTCCCTGAGCCAGCATCAAACCTCAGCATCAGTGCTTAATGCTGGCTTGGTCGGCACGCCAGCATTGGGCTTCAATGCCCGAAGCCGGCGCCGCATGCCCGCACAGCCGCTACCTGGGCATACGGCATTAATGCTGAAGCTACGAGTCGATGCTGTACGGCATAACCTCATGAGGCGCCTCAAATGCCTAGTTTTGAGTCCGCTGATTGTACTACTCAGAAAGTTTGAGTCCGCTGATTGTTCTACTCAAATATTTTGAGTCCACTGATGACTTGACATGATAATCGGAAAATTGTATGAAATAGATTATTAAGATTGAACAAATAATCTGATAATTCTAAGAATTGAAACTTATTTATCTTCTACTTCAGAAAATTATGGAAGAAAGCTTATTAAGCGCTAAATTTTGAATTACACAGCTACCTCAATTGGACATCAAGATTACGATTTCACTACAAAAGAGGGGCTTGGAGGACAAGGTGTATAAGTGAAGTTTTTGAAAAATTGAGTTATTAATGATTTCAATTAAAACAAATCTTGATGCATATTCTACAAAAAATTAGCTCCCAAATTCCAATTTTTTTGCATCAAAAAGCCAATTTGAACTTTCTTTCTGCCAAAAGGATCCATGTAATTTCGAAATTTCAAAAACATATTTCTCGAAATAGCAAAAACTGTACTTAGGCGCCTTGTCCTCCCAGCCTCTTGAGACATGTTCAAATATTTTAATATCTTTTCGTCTCTGCAATGCCTAATTTTTCAAGGATCGGAAACCGCTTTTATCGTATTTCTTTGTTTGATTTTAGTATTGAGGAGCTTTGAATACCTACTAAAACCTGAGAACTTACGTTTTTATTATCTTCCACTTGAGTATCGTCAGAAAACTTGACTGAGAGTCTGTGGGAGGAATTTTTGTCTTGCCAGTCTTCTTCATAATACTCTCGGTACTGACTGTAAGTTTCATAATTTTCTTCACAGCCACCGTTCACTTGACCTATAAAAAGATGTAACCCACAGTTTTAGGCGCAGACATTTTGATCATAGCAAACAAGATTTGGACAGGTTTTGAATAATTTGTAAAAGTTTTTGAGAGCAGGGACGATGGTACAAAAAAAAATCTCAACATTGAGATATTGGTATTGCAAGACGTCCAGCAAAATTTCCTTTCCCATCTTTGTGATGTTGCAGGTTTTCCCTGACCCCTGGATTTACTGTCTTCCTGACTTTCCCTGATCTTCTTTTCCATATCAAAAGAAATAAAAAAATAAACATAGCTTCTGTCACTTATCGGTAGGGCTGTGCGAATATTCGCTGAATATTCGCTTCGTCTGTCTTGCGCACTATTCGCAAATTGCGAATAATCGTGCCGTCGCGAATAGTGAATTTTTGAACTGACATTTTCAAATATTCGCGCCGTCACGAGGAATGAATTTTCAAATATCTGCACCATAAAAAATAACGAATTTCCGAGTAGCAATCGTGAAACGTTGTGAGGACCTGCGCAAGGCTTCTGCTTCCATCCGAGACATCGCCAGAGACAAGAGACCCTTCACTGGCCTCCTAGCGACAGGTGGAAGCTTTGACTTTCGGGGTTTCAACAATTCCTTATGGACAATTATTAGGGAGCAACAGTCATCACCCTAGTTTCGGCTGTTGACTTACCTACATGGTCGATAATGAGCTTCGGATGACATCATGAGCCAAACAACTTTCCCAAACGTCGGCCATTTTCGGCTTGTTTGCAAAACGAAACTGCCAACACGTTGTTGAACATCAACCATGTAGGTAAGTCAACAGTAGAATGCTGAAGTCCCGAAAGTAAAAGCTTCCACCATGGCCAAGATACTAGTGGAGGGTCTCTTGTCTCTGGACATCGCGAACAGCGGATCTCCTTTGATCTTAACCGACTTTGCCGAATTTACGAACGGCGATTGCAATTGCGACTGGTCCGCATATCTTGGTTGCTCCAAGAGTACCTTTTGTAATATTTGCGAATTTTCACACTTAAAAAAGTCATTTAAAATTATTCGTTTTACTATTCGTAGCTGTGAATAATTGACTTAAATTATTCGCTATTTTCTTCGCTATTCGCGAATAGTTGCCGAAATTATTCGCTATTCGCTTCGTTCGGAAAATTCACTGTTCGCACAGCCCTATTTATCGGCATTACAATATAAAAGAAAATAATAATGTCAAGTTGGAACTTTAAAATTTATAAAAATTTCTACTTTATTTATTATTTCCCTCCATTTGATTTTATCTGACAATCTCCATCCTGAAGATTTCAACACTGCAAATAGTTAGGAAAAATCTCCAGGAGATTCTTTATTCATCATCATTTTTTATTCGCACAAATGATGTTCAGCTAAAATGGTGAAAAACTTTGATTCGTAATGGATTGTAACTGAATTGACTCACCAGGAAATACTTCAGATCTGTCTTCAACTTGAGGTAACAGGAAACAAGTTAAAACTTGTTCGTTTGTCTTTTCATCAATGTCTGTTTGGAAGTTAAGTAAAGGCTGCGCTTGATTAGCTGATAACCAAACTGCTTTTAAATTTAAATTCGCTAAAGAGTACGGCAAATACTGTAACCTGAAAAAGTAAAATGATGGATTTTTTATTAGTTTAAATTCATGCATGAAGTTAGAAACATGTAGAAAATCAGGATAAAGTGCTCATGAACAAGTATGATGCATAGCTTAAAATAAAAATTTGAAAAAGAATTGACCTTATCGTAAGAAGTTTGGAAACCGAATTCCAAAAACAATTATAAAGATTCATAAATGGAATTAGAGACATACAGAAAGCCAAAGTGAGGTACTCCTAAAAATGATATGCATGGTAAAATACTGGCAAAGAAATCTTTAAACTTACTTTTTAAAAAAATACTTTAATCATGAAAAGTGTGAAAACCAAATTATGATGATTTTAAGTTTGAAAAATCAAATATTTTGGCTTACAATAACCTTCTCTTGTTGTAAATATAAAGATAAGACTGAGTTGAAGAGGAATTATTTCACACACAAATCAAAATTTTAAAATTATATTTTTTTAAATTGAAAAAAGAAGAAGAAAGAATGAATATGAAAATTTCCACGTGCTAATAAAGTACAAAGACTTGTAAAATAGAAAGCCTTGATGGATGGAAAAAAAATTACCTATTATCGGAAACATCTAAAACATGGAGTGATGAACAGTTTCCTACTTCCGTCGGTAGATAAAATAATTTATTGTCTCTGAGAGATAGCACACCTAATTTTGACAAATTACCTGAGGAGCAAAAAGTTAATTAACATTAATTACAAGGCAGCAAACAAGACAGACACATTTGGGAAATAGATAATCTCTCTAGAAACACTTAGCATTACAAAATTTTGATACGTATCAATAGGACTCCGATCTGGGAATCCACTTGATTTTTAGAGGAAAAATTTGACATAGAGAATAAGATGGATATGAGGACTAATAACAGCTTGAATTGTATTAATGAGCATTTTTTCTCAGGAGATATTTCATTTAATACTAGGATTGCGCTCAAAATTTAACAATGAAATGGTTTATTCAAAGAAAAATGTAAACAGAATGAAATCCTAATTGGACGTATTTATGCTAAAAGGAACTATGTGGAAGTGGAAAGATGGAGTGTGCTCTTGGAAACCACAAAAGAAACAATGTAAAAGTGGATATAGTTCCTTTTGAGAAAATGGAAAAGCGGGATTTTCAATTAAATCAAATGGAACTGAGCGCTAACTCGTCAGCCGTGGGCATGTGACTAGAGCGTTGTGGACAGGGCTCATGAGTTATAAACTGACGACCTAGTCGATGTTGCTCTTGTCGTGCCCGGTCCTCACCACTGACGTCACTAGGGCTTTTAAAGTCCCATTCATTCTTATGGCCCGAGCACTAATCAGCACACCCCATATTTCCACTTGCACATAGTTCCATTTCACATAAATACGTCCGATTGCATTTATATCATTTTTAAGATTAGTGCTTCACTTGTTTTTTAACATCTTCCTTCATTCTCAATATTTATTCTTCATCCATTAATAATAATCAATTGATTTTTACCTTCAATTTTCAATACCTTGTATTAATTATAGTTTACAATCCTTCAATATACTCCAGATTTTCATTCTTCAATCGTTTTTTAAAGTTTTTTGTCTCAAGTTCACTGGTGGCCAAAGTAAGAAGAAGTAAATTTTGAGAGTAGCACTAATGAATTATGGCTCAAGGATGAATCTATTCACTTACCTATTTGAGAAGGAAGACAATGAAGACTATTTCTGTCGACATTTAAATTTGTTAGATTAACTAGTTTTTCTATTGTTGGAGGCAGTTCTATTAAAAAATTTTCAGTTAAAATTAATTCTTGTAAATTTACACAACTGAAACAGAAAAGATCACAAATATAATTAAAAATGAGTGAGTGAAAAGCTGTAAAAAGACAGATACTTAGTGCTTCCTGAAACAGAGTTGGCTGAGTTGGCTTGTTATAATTTTCGAACTACATAATATTTCTCGTCAGGCAGACAGACACCAGTTAAGAAATTGTTATGAAATCTGTTGGTTAAAATAACGCAAAAATTACATAGCCCGAGAATATGAACACGTAAGAATTAAACTTAAAAAATGGGTAAAAAAGGGCTTTGCATTGAGACACAAAAAAGACAGACCATTCCGAGCCATCACTGGCTCATTTTCAGCTTAAAAACAATCAAAATTAAAGAAACAAATTGAGTGGCAACCTATGAAATTGCAGTGGTTACTTGATAAAACTAGGTTCAGGGTGCCATTCAAAGTTTAATTCGTTTTTATTGATTTTGCAGCTGATTATGAGCCTGTGACAGCTCAAAATTTCTTGCCGTACTCGGCTGTCTACGTATATCTCCATTTTTCATGTGTCAATGTTTAAAATTTCACAATTATTTTTGCATGATTTTGTTTTCTAAACGAATAGAGTAAGATTTAAAATAACCCTGTGCAAAGTAAAATTTTATAAACTGTCATGGTAAACTAAAAAATTCTTGGTAAAAATTCTAAAATTGAAGGGTAATCAATTTTAAAGAGAAAATGGAAAGGGATATCTCTCAAACTGACATTATTTAAATGTGGAAACATGACGAAAAAATATAGTAGAAACAATGAAAATTCATACTTACTTCCCAATATTTTCATTCAGAGACGTCAATCTATTTTGGTCAACTTTTAAAATTGTTAATTTAGTTAAATTCCCTATTCCGTCCGGTAAAGTTTGAATCACATTCTGAGATAAATGCAGGTCTGTCAAGTTGACTAGACCGCCAATTTCATTTGGAATATCTTCTAACCTATTTTCTGACACGTCTAAACACATCAGATTCGAAAGCTGTCCGATTTCCTGGAACAGAAATAAAAAGTAGATATTAGTTCCTGTAGTACTTTGAAATTCTCTTGGAAATTTTGATTATCACTTTTGGAGCTAAGATTCCACCTTCTGAATCATGAAAATGGTTTTTGATTTGTCCCTTCGACCGGAATCAACCTAATTACATCTGACATTGTCTAATCTTGTCTGATGTTTTATTTTTTTAAAAAACTAAGCGACAATGAAATTTGAAATTTTGATGGGTCATTCTTCATAATCTAGGGTGAATGCACAAAGAATTTAAAAACTTTACATGGTTTCGTTCTCGGTTAAGAAAATAAAACATGAGACAAAATCAGGCAAAGTGAAATGCAGCTAGGATAATTTCTCTTAAAAATGGAAACTTTGCAATGATTTTTGGGTGAATAATTTGGCATGATTGTAAAATATATACATTTTGGGTTCAGAATTTGAGACTTGTGAAAAAGAAAATAAAGACGAAAAAAACAACAACTTGGTCACAACATTGATGAAAATTATCCTTTCTAGGTTGAAAAAAGCTGACTTTCGACAACGCCTAGAAGCCACCTGCAAAGATTTTAAACCTAAAGTAGACAGGTGTTGAGTAAATGACGAAAAAGCCAAAGTACAGTCCAAATGTTACAAGTACTTTGGATATTTAAAATTATAACGAAAAACAAAACTAGAGATCAGAAATATAGAAAAACAGAGTGCTGACAGAACTTACTGGAGGTAAATGCTGTAATTCATTGTGGTCAATCCATAGTTCTACTAAAGACGGTAGTTTACCTATATTTCGAGGCTGAAAAAGAAAAATGAGAAATTAGCTTTGCAAAATAGTAACAATATGCAGAGTGTGAAAACTTCGTGATGTTAAAACGGGAAAGAAACAGGATGTTAAAACTCAACTTCTTAAAGATCTGTTAAAACTTAATTATCCTCAGCGCTAAAAGGAAAGGTTGGTATAGATTCAAAACTAATTAGTTTTTTGCGTTTCAGTTTTTTTAAATAAACTAAAATTTAAAGAAGGTTGAATACTAATAAAATGAACATAAAGTAGGTACTGAAGTTAAAAGAAAAGTCACGACAAACAAACAAAAAACAAAGCTTCGAATTTTTAGAAAAACCTAAAAGCACATCCACCAATGAAATAATCTCAAGTCATGTGATGACCAAGGGGTTAGAAATATTTTTTATGTTTAAAAGAAAAAACATCGGGATATACTTTTTTTAAGTCTCGAACGGAAAAATGTGGCGGAGCAAAAGCGTTTTGCGGTTTTTCTTTCCTTCTTTTCTTAGAACATGATTTACCAATTGAGAGAGCAAACAAGCGATTACTTACTAATTCATCAATATTGTTATCTCCTATGTCAAGCCTTTCCAACTTAGTTAACTGAGAAAAAGATTCAGGTAGCGATTTTAACATGTTTTCTCGTAGTTCCAGTGATTCTAGACTAATTAAACTGAAAAAAAAAAAAAAAAAAAAAAAAAATCAAAACAATGTTAATTAGTAGGAGGAATAAGAAACAGCTAAAATTTCAGTTGATGCCATGCTAAAGGATACACTTTTTGAGCTCGAATAGACTGAGGCAAGCATCAGTATGTAGATTGCTCACAAAATCGGAAAAATCGGGTGAACTTGGGTTTAGCAGAAAGGTAAGAGGAAAATTGCAATTTTGCCATGATTGTGCGACTTTTTTTTTTGGAAGTGATAAAAAAACCGATAGAATGCAACGAAATAAAACTTCCAGAACCATGTTCGTCTTAAATTGATATCATTTTCTGTGTAAAAGATAGTAACCAATTAAAATTGAGTGTGCTCTTGTGACAAAGAGGTACTTGCAAAAAGGCAACTTTACAAAATAACCTTTTGTCCATTTCTGCTTTACTCGATTCAAGAGACAAAACCTATTTCAGAAAAAGTATGATACTGAGAAGAGAACCCTTGAACGGGTAAAAAGATATTGACAATTTTTCCTAGTTTTACTTGCTAGATGACATCAACACAAAAATAATTCTTCGATCTAGAGATTGTAGAGGAGATTATGAAATTCGCTTCGTACTCACTTGCCAAAATCTAAAGGTAGCTTGACTAGAGACATGTCGTTCAGCCCAAGAACGGTTAAATTTCTAAGTTCAATAAACCCCTCAGGCAAACTGAAACAGAAAGAAAACAAACTTTGGTGAGCTTTTATCGACGCAGTTGTTACTATACAGGTGAAAAATCTCCCTAGACGGCGAGATCATATGAATAATGTATGTTACATGAAAAACAGCTATGCAAGGAAGTAGCGATCAAGACTTGGAGAAGAGTGAAGTAGCCTGGCGTCGTTGTGCGCCTGCAATCGCGCGATAGGCAATTATGCGTTGTGACGTTGTGCTCTGTAGCGTGGCTATGAGCAGAGCATGATGCACATTCAATGTGTTTACTCCTGCTACTAGTAGCTGCTTTTAGTTGAGTGTGGTAGCTGGCACAGGTTACAGGATGTATACGAAGTTGGGATACAATTTATCTGAAATTTAGCGTCTCATAACTTCATACGGTGAAATTTCCTATTTAAGTACTGTATTATGGTAGACAAAATCATTCCCTTTCAACTGGATTGCATTTTGCGAAAAGGAACCACTAGCATTGCAATGTTGCTAAGATTGTGCAACTTCTTTTGTCTTGGAGGAAAAACCCGATTATCCATTCATAGTTTCTATTTTACTCGCTAAAAACTGTAAATTTAAGACAAAAATTACCATCTAAATTTCATAGTTTTTCACGACTTCCGCAATTTTACTGCAAAAGATGAAGTTGCACAATCTTAGCATCATTGCAATGCTAGTGGTTCCTTTTTGCAAAATGCAATCCAACCCATCCAAGAATCGTTTTTAGGAACCGAGGATACTCATATGCTTAGTTTACTCAGAAACTGTCATTCATGCATGAAATTCATCCAATTGCAAACATCGGCGGATAAAAAATTTGCAGGTGTCTGAAAAGTCAAGATTCGCGAATTTCGTAAAAAAATGGTTGCAAACGTGAACTGGACACGAAACCCCATTTGGTTTCAGAACTGAATGATATTATTCGAAGAAGTAGGACAGAATGATGGCAACTGCATAAGTGGACGTATTTCTGTCAAATGGAACTATGTGCATTATGACGTGAGCCCTATTATTCATATAATCTCATGGGTCTCAGGGCTCATGTCATAATGCACATAGTTCCGTTTGGCAGAAATACGTCCAAATATTTGTGTCAAAATAGAAAAATATGTCATACAACGTCACTTTTGTTCACTTTTAAATAACGTGTTTGACTCCAATTTTCCATGTTAGAAGTAAATAGTCGAAAGTACTTTAGCTGTTGCTAAACTCGTCGAACACTTCGATATCGGTGGTTAAATGCGAAAAGCGCGTATATTAATTGCAACGTTTAAAAATTCCCGATTATGTTTCACATTCTTCGAGGACAACTAATTAAAATGTCTCGTAGAAGTTAAGCGTGATTTTTTTTAAGTGTAAGTGAAGTAAATGCACAAAAATTAAAAATAATCATAAAAACTGTTGGTTCGCTTTCCTTTAAAAGACTAAACAAGAGGAGAGACTTACAACGTCGCAATCTGAGACCCACATTTTTCCCTCCTTTAGACTAGAGTCCCTTTATACCCAGAGTTAAGACAGCTCACTTTTGGTTGGGCCAGGGTTGGGCTGAAAGTGGCCTAAAAAAAATCCAATTCTGATTGGTTCTCGCTCATGGAGGCCGAAACGAGTGCACCAAGATGGCGGTACCTCGAATGTGAACAAGAATAATGAAAATATTACCTAATTGTGGTTTATCAAGAGTAAATTGTTATTTCCATCGGTCCAAAATGAAAATAGATTAAGAAATTATTCACAAACCAATCCCATTTTCTTTTTAATTGATCAATTTTTTGATGTTGTTGTTTTTGTGTGACAGACATCGCAGGATTCCTGATCCTTATCCCTCAATATCGTTCGTTCGGGTGCACTCGTTTCGGCCTCCATGGCCAGCCAAGGCCGGCTGCCAGTCAGCTGATAATCGAGTTGTCTTAACTCTGGGTATAAAGGGACTCTACTTTAGACATCGGTATGGTAAGGTCCGTATTTCCAGATAAATTAAACGAGAAAATTTAAAAGAGGATTAAAAAGGATGCCCATACTATAATTAGATCTATATGTATATAACTGCCAAACACAGCCAATATGTATTTTTTAAACGGACTTATTAACATATTCATTAATTTATTTGTTTCTCGTTTCGATTCCACTGATTACTTAATTCGCTTTATAATCGGGGAAACAACGACTTACAAATGCAAGGGCGAGGAGTAACATATTACTCCGTCACGAGCAGGAAAAATTGAAAGCGCCTTCACTTTCTTCATGACAATCTGGATACAACTATTCGTACTCGAGGGATGTCCGTATTGCATGCACCAAAATTGAAGGCGCTTTGGCTTTCATACGAGACGCGCATTTTTCGATACGGCGATGGATGAAAAGCAGCAAAATTTTCTCGTGTGAACTCTCCCATCTCTATTCTGAGAGACCGGTGATTTAGGTTCGTATTCCCAGTCGTCCCTTAAACGGCTCCTTGCCCTTGGAGGCCCCCATGGTTTGCGCTATGATTAAGGGAACCTTACAAAAGTCCTCAAAATATCATCATAAAAAGGAAAATGTATTGCCGACCTCGAGTAAAGGCCTGTTGTATGATCTCTTGTCAACCTCTCGACTAAACCTCTGATCTCGTAGGAACTGAGTAGATCCGTTGTGCTTCGTTCGCGCGGGAGTCCGTGTGAAAAAAGCAGAACGGAGAAGAGATCTTAAGGAGGAAACTGGTCGGTCCGGACCGGCTATAGGGCATCCGATCTCGAGTGAAACAAAGGCATGAGCCCCATGCCTTTGTGTTTTAAAATTTCTTCTCAATTTCTTCAAAATTTCTTCAAAATTTTGAATTTCAAATTAACGTAATGCCATGGGAGTTGTAAGTTGGACGGTGGAAGCGTTGCCGTCTGATGTCGGTTCCTCCTCGTGGTGGACGGTGGAAACGAGGGTTTTACCCTCGGCTAAACGCCGACAATATATGTACTGGTTTGGTAGTAACACACACACAATTCTTTTATTTTTATTTGTTTACTTATTAATTTTTTTTTTCTCAGTACTTGAAAAAATTCCAGACTTTTGGAGCAAATTCCCTGACTTTTTCATGTTTCCAGGCCATTTTTGTTCCCCTGACTTTTCCAGGTTTTCCAGATCGCTGGGAACCCTGTATACTTCTGGTCAAGCTTTAGTCAGTTCAAACCACCAGTTTGACAAGCAACTGACCAGAGGTCTTACAGTCGGCCCTAAATTAAATCAGTATAACCATTAGAAATAGATCCTTGCAAGGGTGTGCAATGATTTGACGTTGCATAAAGTACGAAAAACGGAAGAAAATATTCTATGATTTTGATAAACATTGAGGTAAGTGCAAACCTGCCTTTAAAACTAAAATCGCAATATATTTTCTTCCGTCTTTTGTATTTTTTGTAGTGGTGTATCATTGTAATTCCTCTCAAGAACCCATTTTCAAAGTTGTATTACACATGAAGTTGACAACAACAAATTGTCCTTTGCACGATGCTATTTTGAGAGCTTACTTAAACCTCCTGTAACAATGTAAACTATGTGACGCCTCCTACAGGAAGGAGCTGTTTGAGGAACGATTGAAACGAGAAAATTGTATAATTGTATCGCTTTTCATCCGTTACTAAAATCGATAACTGCGTGTTTCGTATGAAAGCTGGAGCGCCTTCAATTTTCGTGCATGCAATGCGGACATCCTTCGAGTACGAACAGTTGTATGCAGACTTCGTCGTTACGAAAACGAAAGCTCCTTTAATTTTTTCCGCTTGTGATGTTACTCCTAGCATTTGCGGAATGCATCCTGGTTTGATCCGATGTCTTTTCAGGCCCATTACTTGCCTGAATATAAGTCTGCAGTCCGATTCTAGTGAATTATGAACATTTTTCGGAAGTACCCGCCAAACTAGCATTTTTCGTCAAAATAGGCCTTTACATCCACACGTGGGTCAGTATTATAGACCCAAAGGAGACCGATATTGACCAAATTATAAAATACCTCGTAAAATATAGATTCAATGAGCAAAACTTGGTACAGTTTGGGAAATTTAGGATGGGCTCAATAACGCCTCTGGTCTATAAAACCCCTCCTCCATGTGAAAATACGGATCGACCCTAGGAAGACGAGCATGGATACGACCCTAGGGCGTAAATCTGACAGCAGCGCCCCTGGAGGCGAGCGCCGGAATCGTCTCGACGCCGGCGACGACCCATTGAACTAGAGAGCAAGTGACCGACAAGGACACCGAATCACTTTCACTTGGCGCGGTGCGGTGCGGTGCAGCGCGGCGCGGGTCTCAAAATAATTAGCGTCTACCCACGCCCCCCCCCCCTTCCACGGGCGATTCATTCATATTTCCAATTGCTCGCGGCGGCAGGCGCCCAGCGTATGATTCACCGCGCACCGGACTTCCTTCAATTCTGCTGTTCTCAGGAAAAACGCCGTAAGAGCATTCGCGTGCTGCCAAGTTGCTCCCTGGAAAATATTTATTCATGAAGAACGTTATGAAAATTTGAAGGGCTTGGAGGACAAGGCGCATACGTGCAGTTCTTGAAACAATAGAGATATTAATGTTTTCAACTAAAACTAGTCTCAATGCATGTTAAGTGAAAAATTCGCGGCCGAATTCCATTTTGTGAGCATTAAAAAGTCAGTTTGAACTTTCTCTCTGCCATATGGATCCATGTAATTTCGAAACTTGGAACACGTACTTCTCAAAACAGCAAAAACTGCACTTATACACCTTGTCCTCCAAGCCCCTCATTTCTCCTTGACATTTTCTAACGCTCTGTATCAAATTTCGAAAAGAATTCGCGGAAAAATCTGAAGGATTTTCGGATTCGGAAGAGCTGGGCCCTTAATCATGGTGTCTCGAATTCTTGACCACGCTCATTCTATGATTTTCAGGAGCTCATTCCCTAATGAGAAACCGAAGTTTTCTCCCACTTCTACTGGATTTTCTTGGGAGAAACCATAAGATCCCAACCGCCGGAAATGTCCAGAGTTCCAGAAATGAATATCG